TTAATTGGTTTATATCACTAGCAGATATTCTACCATATAGTCAATTGTGTAGTGAACTCTTCCAAGAATGTGGAAGCATGAAGTCAATGGGAGAACTAGAATTTCAGATCTAAAGACCCAATAAACCCCTCACTCAGACTTACACACAATTCTTTGTCTCCCCACAATAAAATTCAAGAAACCCTATTCATTGAAAATTGTTCTCAGCCACTCTGTTCCTAACCCTCAAGATTCATTTGGGTTTACAATTATATTCCATCCACTTTGATCCAGCACTAGAACTGAGGCTAGAAGATGTTGTGTTGTACAGATTCCTATGCTGCACCTAGGAACAAGCTGTGAGAGAAACAAACAAAAATTATTTAATGACACCCTCTTGGTAATGGTTAATTGTGAGTTACAAGCAAAGTTCTCCAAAATACTTTAAATAAAGTTCACAAAAAACTTTTACTAACATTGCTCATTAATATCACTTTAAAAATGCTTTTAAATACCTTTAAACATTATTAATCACTTCAAGAAAGGGGTGAAGCCTAATTAACCCTTCCTCTTTATATTTTCTCCAAACTAAATCTCTTAAAACTGAATTGCAAATCTTTATTCGTGTTTTAGGAATAACCTTGATGAATCTGCCCTAAATATAACTCTTCAACAACTGGTAGATCATGAAGAGCAGGTCATTAGGAGCGAGAGAGAACCAAGAGAGCCTCCCTAATTGCCATGAGCAAGCCAGAATTGCTCTCTGGCATTCTAAAGATGAGACTTGCTGCACCTTTGTTCGCCTTGGAGATGCAAGGATAGCATGAGCAAAGCCGAGATTCTCATATCGTTCTTGTTAGCTACTGTGAATCTCTCTCCGATGAAACGTGAGGCACCCTAGGCTGCAAGCTCGGCCATAGCTTCTCATTGGTATCGCAATGGAATCCGAAATGCTCTCCAGCGCTGCATCAGAGAGAGTGTTGCCGCCACTGACATGCTGTTGCAAAGGTGGCCCGGCACGAGGTTGCTTCAAACAAGAGCTGCGTGCGAATCCAAGGTCTTGCGTGGAACCAATAGCTCTGTACCCTTAGAAAAATGGACGAAAAGAATTTAAAATTTAGGGATCTTGAGAGTCGTGAAGGGACTACCCGAGATGAAGAACGCCGCCCAGTGCCTCACATTGTAAATCTCCTCGATCATCTCCACAGAAGCCTTTTGGAGAGCACTCCCAATGTCCATTCCTTCTTCCACCAGATTACCATACATCTTCTCCATGAGCACCTGAGTGGACTCGTCATTCACCCTCCAAAGTGATATCACCACGGACGGAACTCCGGAGATGTGGAACGATCTCGGCAGCGCCAGGATTCCCTCGGCAAACACTCTCCCGATTCCTGAGTTGCAGGCGCTGAGAATCGCGGCTGATGCTCGAAACGGACCCTGTCCTGCAAGCTCTACGACTTCATCCCCTGTGAGCCTGTCCGAAACCGACGCTGTTGTGAGAGCTCTCACGAGGCATTCCTCAAACTCGGAAGATCGAGCTGACTTTGCAAGGTCGTCTCGATGCTCTTCCGGCACTGCGAAAACCAGAGCTCCATCTGGAAAGTCCGCGGTAACTGTACCGTGGCTTGCGATGTGAATCCAGTCACTTTCAGGAAGCTGCTGCAGCACAAGATCTTTCGTTGCATCAGCTTCGCACAGCAAGTTGACGACGCTCTCTGCGTTGGCCCTCTTCAGAAACGACTCCACCATCTCTGCTTCTTTCGTTGCATAATCCAGATCTTTGCTGGGATTGCCAACCACCAGAGATGACGAAGTTTGTGATTTCTGCTTCTGCTGCCGTAGGGCCCGTCTTCTCTTGTCACAATGGTTCAAGAGCCTCAACGAGGAAACTGTGGCTACAGCATATCTCTGGATCAAGTAGTTGTTGTCTTCATCGATCAAGGCACCGAAAGGAACGAAGGAGATATCCTACAAGTTTCGCAGCTCTTCAGAGTTTGCAAGTAAAAGAAAAAAAAGATAGATTACCTCGCTTGGAACAAAAACAAGTTTCTTGGGTTGGATACTTTCTAGCTGCAACTCAAAAGGCTCGATGATGATCTTGTAGTAATCCCTGAGAATACTGTCTACGTCGTTACTGTCTCTGTCGTTACTGTCTACGTCGTTACTGTCTCTGTCGTTACTGTCTACGTCGTTACTGTCTCTGTCGTTACTGTCTACGTCGTTAGGATTCAGTAGTTTCAGCAAATCCGATGGCGAGCAAGCTTGAAAGCCGCGTTGGTGTCTGTAGTTGATAAGCTCCCCATTGTGTAGAAGATAGATAACCACGTTGTCGAAAGTTGATATCGAAATCTTAGATACAATCAAGATGGCTGTTTCCTTTCCCATGATCTTGGAGACTTCTTCAATTTCTGACCAGGCTCTGTCGTCGTCCATGTCGAACTCCATCGAGTTCTCACGATCCCCTTCTTTGCTGACTAGAAACAGCATGTCTCTTGCATGGCTCCTATCAGACCAGATCAGTGCTTGCTTGATGTCGTTGGCTTCCAGTAGGAACATCTGGAGTCCTTTAAAGTAGAGCATGAGTGACTCTATATTGTTGATCCTCCCTATGCTCAAACAGCCGAAGATTCCATCCATTTTTAGCCAATACCTGAACAAATAAATCTTAGAGCTTCCTTCTCTTTAGAAACAGAGAGATGCCACGAACCTGAGGAGCTCTTTGATTTTCTGGATGGAGTCTGTAGTAAAGCCCATCTTAAACAGCAGACAAGCATGGTTAACAAGAACTGAAGGGACTGTAACACTTGGAGAGATTGAGCGCTCAGCAAGTTGGATAGCTTGTCTCATGAACTCATTGACGAGCAATAGGGGTGGAGAGATCCTCAGTTTAATCGAATATGCATGCGCAAGCTCCGCCATCTTCATCCAAAGTCTAGATTCATATATTTGCAGGCCATGTAGTTCGACATCCCTATTCTCCCGTGTCAGAGTTTGGAGCAAGTGGCCAATCTGTGATTCCTGTTCCTCAAGGTCTCCTTCTTCGTCAAGCTTAATTAATAACTTCAAAATCTCTTTCAGCTCCATCGTTGCCTCATCATACAAAGTAATTCCAGTAGCTGCGCCCATTTGTAAGTTCTCGTTGCACGCCTTGAGAAGGACAACAGCGTCTCCAAAGCTCATCTGTAAGCGATTCCTGCCAAAGAAAGAGGGGGTGTCTCTGTTACAGATATACGTGACCAGTGCTGCAGGGTATGGTGTTTGTAAGGGTTCCAAAAGTTGGCATGACCTCTGAAAATGCAGAGCGGCACCAGAAACATCTCCCCATTCGCGCTTGAGACGTCCTTCCATGAGTTCTACAACACCTTGTCCAAACACCACCAAGTTTGAGAAGCTTCTGTCTGTAACCTTCCGGAGTTCCTGGACGATCCCATTTGCCATTTCGAACAATTGCTGCGATATAAGAGCGTCAAACTGCCGGGCCATGGCGTCCAGGATGAGCTCCTCGTTACTGGCTTGAAGAGCATAGCGTTTCGCCCTCTCCAGATATTCTCGGCTTGTTTTCTGGTCAGTGCATGCGTTGCCTAGTTCAGTTGCAGCAAAGTAACGCAGCATTCCTGTTTCTGCTTGTTCCAGGGACCTTTCCAGAAATCCATACTGTGCTTTGGAAAACTTGCCGTCCAATACTCCTCCTCTTCCAATGTAGTAATCTGTCCAAGCTCCGTAAGTTTCACCGTCTCTAGAGTGTTTCTCGACACATACCATCAGCCGAGAGAGCATAGCCTGAGTGTCTCCTTTGGTTTCACGGCCAAGGTAGTCGTTTATGAACACTTGGGCCCAGTGAATGCTGTCCAAGTCACCCATCTTCAAGGCAATCTGATGGCCAAGCACGAGCGGATCAATGCCAGTGACTGAGACCTCGTCATATCTGTCATACATAACTTCTATGCCTTCTTCGATGTGGGACCTTGCATCTTCCGCGTCGACCCGGCCCTCTTGGAGCTCTGCTATCTCGCACCTGGCTTCCCTGTACAAGTCGTAGGCAGCAAAGCAGACGTTCAGTGGTGTAGCAGTCGCAAGTGCTGCCAGATCTGGAGATGGCAACGTGAGTATGAAGAACTTGGTGAACCTGTCATATCGGACATGGTTCAGGAGGAACAACGTAGAGCAGCAGGACGACGCCAACTTTTCCGCAAGCTTGTCCTTGAGATTCACCATAAAGTTTGCTAGTGTTCTTCTAGCCTCGGCATACACAGAGACCACCTCTTTCCAATCGCCACCTTCCTTCTGCTTGATCTTCGCTTTTATCATGCTAGCCAGAGCTGACGAGATTACCGATCCAGTGAACACCTGATCGAGAGCGATCTTTGCTTCCTGAAGCTCACCAAGCTGTGACAGAGTCTTCATCATCCAGTACGAAGCTATGGCCCTGTACTCTACATCCAGAGCTTCTGCTGTGGATTTGGCAACTTGGAAGCATTTTAGAGCGCCTTCTCCATCATCCTGATGAATGATTGATCCAAGGCCCATGGCAGCATGATACCTCAGCAAATCTGACCTTGCGGAATCAAGGCAAGAGGTGAACAGTGCCTTTTCCTGATGGCGTGTTGCCACATGAAACGCTGCCAGTGCCTGTGGATCCTCTTCTTGCTGGCTGTTTGCAAAGCACTCCAGCAGAAACACCGAGAGACTATCCGGCTCCAAATCTTCGCTTGAGAAGTGATTGATGACGCCTTGGAGAAGCTTGGTACTCCACAGAAATCCATCGGCATCGCCCTGCTTCAAACAGATGAAATGGCAGTCAGCAAAGATCTTGACAGCGGGCTTGAGATTTTGCTTTTTTTCGGACAACTCTTGCAACAAAAGAACAGCTTGCTTCAGGCAAGACGAACAAGAACTCTCCCCCATTTCTTTCTAACACAACTCCAAATTCCACTGTTAAATAAAAGTTTACTTTGACTTAGCTGCAACAAAGGTCATTATGTGACTAACCCTCCGTATTAGGGTTGAAGTACATTCGCTATTTTGCATGGAGGAGCTCCGGGAGTTGTGCCAATCCGGCAAGGATGTGAAGCTGGGCGACGCGGAGGCATGGGAGGATCCATCACAACTCGCAATGGCCAAGCAAATACTAGAAGAACACTTCTATGTTCAAAATCTCCAGGATCCATCCCTCTTCGTCGTGCCCAAGACCACGATTTCTGCTGGATCCCCTTCCTCTATCCTCTTCCCTGCTTCCATTCCCCAAATCGAGTACACGGCACCGACACAATCCTCGGGCAATCGTAATGCCGGGCATCCAAACTACCGCCTCGTCTATGGCGATGGACCGTCGTGGCACCCGTGCCATTGCATCCAGCTGGCCCCCCAACCCCACCCACGCATCCAGATCCCGGCCGCGATCCATCACAAACTCCGCGAACAGCGCGTGGCAATCAAACTGGTGATCGCGCCCAGCGTCCGGATCACCCCTGCCAATGTGGACGTGGAGCTCCGCATCAAGACCCTATCGGTGAGCGTCATGGACGCGCTCAAGAACGAGACGGCGCTGGGCTTCTACCCCTGCCGGATTAGATTCTCGATCGAGCCACTGCTGGGCGATCCCAGCGCCGTCGCGATCCCGCTCTACACGCCCAGGACCGAAGGCGGTGGTGGATCTAGCAGCGGGGCTAGCACGAGGACAGGGAGCAGTGGTAAGAAGATCGGCGTCCAGATTGGATTTGGGCCCCTGTCGATCAGTGGCGAGAGGAGCTGGGGGGTGGGATTCGAAGAATCGACGGAGAGGGAGACGATCAGTGCTGGGGATTGGGAGGGCGTGGAGGATGAAATGGGGTCCGGGAACACGGCGGTGTTTGAGTGGAGGCTTTTGCGATGGAGCCACAATGGGGTGAGGTACAATGCTGACAATCCACACTCTGGATTGAGCTTGTCTACCAAGTCTCTTAAGGTTCGCTCCTCCATAGCTAGCAATCTCTCTCTCTCTCTCTCTCTCTCTCTCTCTTGGATGGATCGAATGAATTTGACTTTTTATTGTTTCCAGACCCCATTTCCAGGAGGAATCACAGGAATCAAAGTGGAAAGCTTTCCAGGCGTCATGTGGCATCTCCACCCAAGCATGAGATCCAAATTTCCGCTCCATTTCAGGTTCCAGTTGGAGGTGGAAATGCATCTGCTGTGGTTCGTGGGAAAGAATCGACTGTTCCGAGTGGCCGAGTGGGGAAGAGAGGCGTTCCAGTTTTGTCACGAGTTTGAAGTCACAGATGGTGTAAACTCCATTGTCACCTGAAAATGGCATATACTGGAATGTCATTGCTTATAAATTTTAAGGCTGTGAAATTTCTTTCTATGTACTACAACCACAGGAGAGTTCCTTTACTTGAACAATGAATATGCAATACCTCCTAAGTTCCTACCATCAGGCATTAGAGTATCTGACTGTTAGATAAATTTAAAACAGTTGACAAAAGTAAGGTTTGAGGGCTATGCTATATATGAATATAATCCACTTGCATCCATTAGTCTTCAAGATGGGAACCTTACAGACATATACATAATATCCTATTTGAATTGCTTCTTGTATTTCCAAGAAGAAAAAATCATGGTCATACTCCTTATGTAAATTATCCACAGTCCTTGCCTTAAAATTCGGCCTTACAGTCCTTGATCAAGTCCTTGATCTTGAAGACTATTTGAGTTATATTTTTCTAATTTTGAGAGTTTTCCATAGTTCAGCTTCCAGAAACATGGAAATGGTATATATATACCTTAGAAAATTTAAGGCTATTCTACACAATCTTTGAATGAGCCCTTTCCTGACTTTCGCTTGAATGATACTGAACACATAGTAGCTCCGGACTTCCTGGCATAGGATACCTTAGCATTAAAATATTACGACCTGTTTAAATAGATAAATAAGAATAAGTCAAAATTACTCCCTAATCTCTATTGTGTCATTTTTAAATCTGAGTTTTAATTTCCTAATGTTAACAATTTCCATTGTTCAGCTGCATATGAGTATACAATCTTTGAATGAGCCCTTTCTTGACTAAGTCTTACAGTCCTTGACTTCCATGAGTCAACAAAAACAAAAGGGATTCTTAGCTCCAGACTTCATGCCACTAGGATACCTCAGCATTACTTGGCTAGATAGATAAATAAGAATAAGTCAAAATCATACTCCCCAGAGTCCTTGATCTCAAAGACTATTGGATCATTTTTAAATCTGAGTTTTATTTTTCTAATGTTAACAATTTCCATAGTTCAGCTTCATGGGAGTATAAAAATTCTACACAATCTTTAAATGAGCCCTTTCTTGACTAAGTCTTACAGTCTTTGACTTCCATGAGTCAGCACAAACACAAGGGAGTTTCTTAGCATGCTTGAACGATGTTGAACACTCAGTAGCTTTAGACTTCCTGCCACTAGGATACCTCAGTATTACGACCTGGCTAGATAGATAAATAAGAATAAGCTGAAATAGTTGACAAAAACAAAAGATGCTATATTGCTTAAATATTATATATGAAGATAATTCAAATTGTATTCTTGCATCCATCAGTCTCATGCTTCAAAATGGGCACCCTAAGAATATCAGAACACCTATATGACCCTTGAACTCATGCTTCTAAACCTATAGCCTTGCAAAACTATGTAAATAATATATGAATGAATGATAGATAGAATATGCATGCATATCATCATTGGCGATATGATGGATATCAACATAGTCAAATATTTGAAATTGTCAGTCTGGTGTTAAGACTTGGTGTTAAATTGACAAAGATTAAGATGCCTAGACTATTCCTTCTAATGTGAGTTCTTTGGGTAATTTAAGCTTTTACCCTTAGCATCTAATAATTCTTCCCCTCTAATAAACCTTTATCCCAAGGTAGTGATCACCTTTTGATCCATTATCCACAACTGTATATATCAAAGAGTCATTACTTTTCATTTCGAGATAGTATATCTTTCAACTGGCTTATATAAAATATTGAATGATTTTTCACTCTAACTTGGCCTTTAGACGATCATGATAGTGGAATATAACTTAATTAATCAACACAATACACATAGCCATTATAATAAAGAATCCCATCCATTAATGAGAAAAATGTTTCCATCTAATTTATGAAAAAACCACTTTAACATTCTAAATTTGAGCATGTTTAATTAATTGTCCACACTTGCTGACCACTTTACTCAAATGATGATAAAACCATGTTTGTAACTCTGTCATATAACAAATATAAAATAAAGCATTTGCCACCACATTTAATTTCCTTGAACAATATTTAGTGGGAAACTCTTTAAATTTTATGAGTTTTACTATCTGCTTAGTGTTCTTCTCCTTTTATATGGTTTATCTTTCTAGCAAAATTTACGTGACAACAGTTTTGTGAGGTTTATATAGCAACAGTTTTGTAGGATTTTAGGGGGAAACAATTATATGTACAACACTTATAAATATGTTGATATAAGATGCATTTTTACATATATCATAAATAAATACATAAGAGGTTTATGATTGTGAACACAATAAAGATAGTGCTTCCATATCTACAAACTCTTGTTTATATATGGAATATTATTACTTTGTAGAATTCAAAATTTAATTCATACTTAGCTGAGTAAATCCATATTCAAGTAACTCCTTGACTTATTGTTGAATTTTTTGCTCCTCCTTATAGCTTAATTGAAATGGAAGTCAATAGATTGGCCTCGTCCCTAACTCCAATATAATCTTATATTTTACACCTCATAATAGAAGTAATCTATGAGAAAATTCAGATGGAAAAAAATAAAAAAAACTCTTTAAATACATTTTATGCTACTGTCTCTCCCACACATATGCCTTGGTCCTTGAAGCCAGGAATAAATAGCAAATAATTCAAATGTAAATAATTTATTATGACAAGTTTACTTTAAAGATGTAATGAAAAGCATAACATCTGAAGGCTAAACCCCTTTTCAAACCACACATCCTTAATACCACTGTATTCTAATAAAATGTGCTTAATGCTCCACTTTATTTTTAAATCCATCTTTCCTAACTATAACATCCCAAGAATGAAATCTATATAATGAATTTCTGCGAGATAAAAAGTTTTCATAAGTGTGATCTTGCCAATCAACACTTTTAACCTCTCCATATAAGCATTGAAATGTTATAGAGGGGTAATTACACTTTCCACTATATACTGAAAAACTCCTTATATAACTAAGTTATGTTCTTCAACAAATTTTACTGAAACAAAGTTGTCATCACTTCTATTGGCTAGTAAAGTTTACATTAGATAACCACAGAACACACCTTCTAGCATCAAAGTTAATACACAATTATCCTCAATTTCCATCTTATTCTACACATAACTAAGTTAACAAATAATGATTAAAAACATCTTCTTCCAATCAAAATAGTTTTCTTAATTATCTTTATAATGTAAATTTTGCAACTTCTTAGTATCTATTAAAAAATTGACCATTTTTCTTGTTCTGCTACTTATTCTTCAATTGTTGACAATTAGTCTTCTAGTGTCTAAACTTGTTGCAATGATGATAATTTTGCTTATAATTCTTCACAAAGAATTTTATTTCTTTTATTGAAAAACTCTTTCAATTCTTGTAAATTTGTGCTTGTTACTTTTAAGTCAACAAATTGCATCAAATAACTCCTCAAACTTTTCTTAGGTTAGGAATGACAGAAGTGTTGTTTCATGCTTTTATTATGAAGGCCATTAATAAAGTAAGACTTTTTCTAATTTGAATTATTCATTGGAACACAACTAATTAAGCTAGTAAGCTTCTTAATATAATCCTTGAGTGTTATTTTCCCTTGCTAAAAATGTCAAAGTTCCATGCAAACATTTTCCATATTATAGTGAGGGGTAAGATATAAATAAGAAGTAGACTTAAATTCATTACAGTAGATATTGATAGTTTGCTATCTACAATACAAAACTTTTTAAGCCAATTCCACTATCAAAGACATATATTAAGTAAAATCATTGGAATAATAACTAAAGCTTTTGCATATGGAGTTTCTTTGGCAATTAAGAAATTCTTCACATTGTCTAACTAAGCCACATATTCACACCACTAGCATCAGAAAAATTTGGAATCTTAATTCAATCTACCAAAGAAGACCATCACAACGAACTCCTTTAATACCAATGTTAAGACCTAGTTCTAAATAATAAAATTAAGAGGCTTAGCCTTGTTTTCAAGTTCCTTACCACTTGTTATAAATATGATTATGCGTATTGAAATTATTTGTTAGCAAATCTTTACTGCCACAACTGTAAAATGTCATTGTTGTTGGTTCCCTTAGTTAATTCATTTTGTTTAAATGAGTATCTACACTTGGTTGGATTTATAATTGAGCATACTTAGCCTAGTTTATTTCTCTTTTGCTTTATCTTGTATTGGTTTGATAAAAACCCTTGCATACTGGGCATTATTCCCTCAATACTATTATATGATAGCTTAATATGTCTAGTAAACAACATTTAACCCATATTGACCACATAGTCAAAGTTGGCACTTAACATAAAAAACATTACAAGACCTTGTAAATAATATATGAATGAATAAATGAATGAAACAGTCACTCCAAGAAGAAAAATCTTCAATGAAGGTAAAGGCTTTGTGATTTTATACTCAACAAAGTCTTTGATCTCAAAGACTCCTGAAGATATCCATTCTGAGCATAGCCTCCTAACATGGTGCTCCAAGAAATTTAAATCTCTGTCACTAAACATGTTCTTAGCCACCAATTTAGTTGAATAGAAATTAATGGCTCTACAGAAATGCCATAACTATAAACCAAGTGTGACTTGAGTCTTGCCCTCCATGCTGCACTTCCTTGGATTCTCATCTCATCAAACAGAGTTTTCAAGAAAAAAAAAGAGAAGAAAATAGCTCACCTCACCTGGAACAAAGACAAGTTTCTTTGAATACTTTCTAGCTGTGACTCAAAAGGCTCAACGATGATCTTGTAGTAATCCCCAAGATCGCTGTCTGTGTCGTTAGCATCCAGTAGTTTCAGCAAATCCGTTGGCGAGCAAACTTGAAAGCCGTGTTGGTGTTTGTATTTGATAAGCTCCCCGTTGTATAGAAGATAGATAACCACCTCATCAAAAGTTGATATCGAAATCATAGATACAATCAAGATGGCTGTTTCTTTCCCATGAGCTTGGAGATTTCTTCAATTTCTGACTCGTCGTCCATGTCAAACTCCATCGAGTTCTCACGATCCCCTTCTTTGCAGACTAGAAATAGCATGTCTCTTGCATGGCTCCTATCAGACCTGATCAGTGCTCACTTGATCTCGTTGGCTTCCAGTAGG